CTCCCCCGTTTTTGAAAACCCCCCCCCCCCCCCGCCACTGAGTTTTCTAAACTGTATATATCAAACTAAACTCTACACAAGGGACTTCAAGATCTGTGGCCTCAAGCAATAGGGAGGGAAGTCTGACAAGGGTTTTGAGAGGCTTACCTTACACCACATTAAGTGGTGGGGAAGAGGGTCAACATATGGCCAAGCCCAGGCTTGAATCATGCAGTAAGTCTCCTAACCCGACCCCTAGCAGCATCCTTGACCAGGCATGTGCCTCTTCTGCAGTTGCTGGAGGAGAAGAAAAAATGTCCCCTAAGCTACCTCTATGCCCAGCATTTCAATGGCAAAACTGCTGAGTTTACAGCTGCTCCCATTTCAGGTGATGCAGTTGTTCAACTTCAGTTTAGTGTATGGCCTGTGCTACACCACAATGGCATGTACCAAGCTGCCATTTTTATTTCACTGAGAAAGGCCACCAAAATATTGTAGTGACTATGTGCACACTATATAAACACTTTTACCAGGCCATATTTTGAACATGACATATTCAGAACATGCAAACTCCTTGCCGGGGTTCAATCCAGGTGCCCCAATGCTGCAAGGGAGAAGCACTAACCACTACGCCACTGTGCTACCCCAATATTGTAGTGAATATATGCACAGTATTTAAACACTTTTAGTGGGCCACCTTCTAAACCGGACCCATGCCAACCACATTTTAAACAAAAAAATTGACATTGGAGTGTATTTATTTAACTGAAAAAGCCCTTAATATCTTGTAGTGAGTATGTGCCCACTCTTTAACCACTTTAACAAGGCCACTTTGTCAACAGGACCCACACCAACCATCCTTTAACAACAAAATTAACAGTGTATATTTCACTGAAAAAAGCTGTTTAGTCAACAGGACCCACAGAAGCCATTTTAAAATCAAGAAATCAACATTAGAGTATAGTTATTTCACTGAAAAAGTCCCCAAAATATTGTAGTTAGTGTCTTTAAACATTTTTACTAAGCCGCTTATTCAACAGGACCCACACCGCCCAGTTTTTAATAAGAAAAATCAACAATATAGTGTTGTTATGTCACTTAAAAAAGGCCTCCAAAATATTGTAGAGAGTACATGCACATTTTAATGCACTTTTACCAACCACTAAACCCCCATTTGTAAATTAAATAAATGTACAGAAAAAAAAAGTACTCATATGACAGACAGTAACTATAATTATGGGAGATTGTTTATTATATATTTTTAGAATTATAGGGGAATAAATATGGGTAAAAAAACAGCACCAAACCTGCTTTAATCCACTTCTATAATCAGATATATAAGGGTTTTATTACATTGAACCACCTATGTGTGTTTATTACTCACACACTCAATACTTATTTACATTTTTTAGCCTGAAGCTTCCACATCTGTCTTCGAATTACAGACAGAACCAAGTGCTGAAGTTACGGTAAGTATTTTATTACTATGAACCAAATTATTATTATGACACACTTCTTAACATTCAAAATTATCTGCAGTAAAAACATTGAAGGGAATTTATCAATTTCAAATCTTAACTGAGCAAACTTAAGAGAGAAGATGATTGGTTGCCATGGGAAACTGCTCCAGATTCTGTCTGCTCCAGGTTTGATAAATCCCCCTGCCCCCACTGCGTTTTCTAAACTGTATATATCAAACTAAACTCTACACAAGGGACTCCCTAAATACATTTTGGTACAGGGTCACTGTTCAGTTACAGTGCAAAATACACATAAAACAGGGGATGGGTGTATCTGTTAATATGCATATATGTACTCTACCCCTGCTGGAGTGTACTGAAAAAAAATCAAGCTCAGGTAAGGCTTCAGTCCTACTATCTTAGTAATAATGTGTTTGGAATATGTAGTTTGGTCACACTGAACTTAATACTTCTTTACCTGCCTATATTTTAACATTATTGTACATAAACTTGCTTACACAGTGTGATGCAACATACACTGATGTTAAATGTATTTACAGTAGTTGGAGGCATTTTGTAAATCAACTTGACAATTGTAGAAAACCCTTGAACATGTATTTTGCATGTTTTCCTTGCAGTTTTCTCTAAGCTACAAAGCAGCTTACGTTATTTAATGCTAAAATAACAAGTACAATAGGGATTTGTATATACTGAAAATAAGAGATTTTTTTATTCAATAAAATCTAATTTAGTTGGTAAATATTTTACATTGTGGCAAAACAAGGTGGAGTCTGATGTAGCTGTCCCTGATGAAATCATTGCTGAGGACACACATCCTGTCCCTGATGTTCCAGATGAAAGCGCTAAAGTTAAGGAGCAAAATGAGCTAGCAGAGAAGACAGTGGTGAGTGAGAAGAAACATCAGCTCATGTGCTCCATCAGCTTATATGCTCCATTCCATTACACTCCATCATGCTTGTATCTCATGACTTTAGGTATTAAACATGATTTTTTACAATTTACTTACCTTTGCATGACACTGAATATTAATTCAATATTTAATATCTTAAAGTATACCTAAATCAGAGCAAAAATGTAATGCAGCTTACCAGTTCCTAGATGTGGTAGCTGAATTTGTTATTTTGTTTTAGGCTTTTTTGCTTTATTTTCAACTGGTTATCCTCCCAGTAACACACTTCCTGTCTTTGGTTGACAACACTTACTCGTGGTACTGTATCTATGGAGGATATATTTGTCACTAGAACAAAGTGTGAGGGATGATTTCTTTATAGGACACCCTTTCTGCTAACAATGGTCTAAAAGGGGAATTCCTCTCACTTTGTAGACATTTTCTCTTGCTTCCTGTTGCGTCTTTGGACAGGAAGTGAAATTGAAGTGAAAAAATAAACCAACAGAGATTTTAAACTCTATCCAAGAAAGAAAATTGGCCATGCCAGTTCATTGCTGGGAACTGTGCAATTTGAAAAAAAAACCTAAAAAAATTTATACTATGAGCATTTATGAGGCAGAGATAACTTATCCCAGATTCCAAATATCAAAAAAGTGTTCCATGATAATTATACAATAATCCAGGCCTGTGCTTTAATACTTACGATCAACACTATTAACAATTTTATTTTACAGCAAAAGGCTTTAATAGGAATCTAAGCAAGTGAATCACGTCATTCACATTACCCAAAGGAAAATATTTGTTTAGTGTGTGTTCTGAAAGCATAATTCAACAACATTCAGTTTAAATCAGCCAAATACATTCCAGGTGCATCAAAAGCAAAAGTATTAAATGTCTTACAGTTGGTTTTCTTTCCAATGCAGCCATAGACTGAGTAGAAAGCCTATCCCCTGCCAGCAGCTGCAGAGTGGGAAGCAGTGGTTCCCCTGCAGAGGTCCAATACACTCCCTGTCTGACGAGTCAGAGCTCATGCTCTCCACTGATTTGAGTTATCTGACTCAGAAGGGACCTGCTGGACCTCTGCAAAGAGTTTACTGCTTCCACAGAGAAAGCAAGGTTCCTTCTCTGCAGCATGCTGGCAAGAGACATGATTTTCTAAGCAGGCTGTTGCTGGTTTTTAAAGTAAACAAATTGGAAGACATTGAACACTTTTTGTTTTGATGCACCTGTAATGTATTTACCTAATTTAAACTGAAAGTTCAATTGGACTTTAAATTTACCTCTGATATATCATCTATAAATCCATCCTTCATCTCATAATCATTTTCATATAAGCCTACCAACCTAAAATGGTCTTATCTGACATGGTTATTACACTGTATCCTGCCTGTAAAGGAAACTATTGAGCCTGAAGAAACCAAGATAGCTGAAGAAGCTGAGACAGAGGGCAGCAAGGTAGGTGACTGCCCTGTTTATTGAGAATCCAGATGGATTCATTTTCCCTTATTTCAGTTTAAATATATTTTTTTGTTCACAATTTAAATACATCCTGAAATACAAAGATTCTCATAGAGAAGCATTGTAAGTTATAGTCACACCAGAATATCAGATTTTGTCAGTTGGCAGTACTACAAATACCCTTTGTATGTCTATCCCCTTGTCCTGGGAATGAGTTGTGTGGGTGTGGTTGTGTGGGTGTGGTGCAGGAGTCTGTTCTCAAAGCGATGAATTTAAGGAACACCTTAAAGTGAACCTGTGCTTTGCCCACACATATACTCACCTTCGTTTCACATCCTCGCCACTCCCTTTAGCTGCCATAAGGAAAGAAAATCTGGCTTAGTCTACAAGTTGCCAGAGTCGTAACTTTCACTGGGACATGGACTCCCAATGAGACAGCACTGATTGGCCTAAGGCTGTCACATGGGGTGACCCACATGCTCCTCCATACCCAGAAGCACTGGGTATTTCCTTTTGCTCCTGGTGCTGAATGGAGTGGCAGAGGAGTAAAGAAAGGGTAAGTATATGTCAAGAATAGAAAGGGCAATTGAGCAATCCTGCTGATTGGCCCTAAATGGGCAAAGCACAGATTTGCTTTAAAACTTAATTAAAATTAAAACTTTAATTTGAAGCTGTTATGAATGAAAAGCTGGTAAATTTACAGTTGAGAGGTGGAACATACCTGCAGTATGGACAGATGATCAGTAGATGTGGTGTTTTATGCAATAATATTTAATTAAATTAGTTAGGCTGGGGTAATAGTGTGTAGAGAATAGCTTTCCCCAAATGCAGATCTCAAAAAGGAGTTTCTCAAACTACTAATGTCAAAATAGTTTTATTTTATTTAACAACCTTAATTGTATAGAAAAAATGAAAATAAATATATAAACATATACACATACATTTAAAACTTCCTAAAAAATTAATCCCCAACCAGCCACAATTGCTATGTGATATTAGTAAATATCTGGGAATCATGCATTGCGGATATCCGAAATATTCATGAACACGATTCCAACAATCTAATTTTTTTTATAAATTAAATACATCAATTCTACTGTGTCCAGGAGCCTCACTGAAGTGCCTCCTCTGTGATCGAGTTGCAACAAATGATCTCCCAAAATGTTTAAGCACTTAATTGGAAAAGATTCAGTGTCTCCGATTAAATATTTGTGGTATTTAGAAACTGGTAGTTTCAACTGATAGTCCTTAGAGTAGATGGATTACCCCACAGAAACAGATGTACATCTCATACATTGATTAGATTATGATTCCTGGGATTTCTCCACATGGGAGAAACCTCAATATATAAGTAAAGTCTCCACTCTTCAAAGAGCAAAACCGCATATGGTAAACCGACATCAGAGACTGAGCTATGCCGTGTATACGGGTGTGGTGGCCCAAACGGCAATCTCTGGAAAACACTTATGTATAGTCTCTATGCCCGTATAGTCAGCTGTATGTGAATGTGATGATGGCATATTTTATTCCATTGAGATAATCTCCAATTCTCACGGGTCATGCACTAGCAACCACATCAGAGGCTGGTATATCCTATATACATGTATGCTGTCCGTATATTCGCCCCGAGCCGCCACTCTCTGGAAAAGCTGATAAAATGTCCTCACGTGCAGGTACTCAACTTTATAGGTATTTTAGAATTATGTACTTATCTCATTTAAGTGGAGAGTCTCTCCCGTGTCACAAAGCAGGACAGACAACCTTCAGTTGCAGATTCCGTGATGTATGTTTAAAAGGTAGCTGGAATCAGTCAAACGCCATGGCTGGGGAACAACTAGCACGCTTCAACTCTTACACGTTTCTCATCAAACAGGGGTTTGGTCAGAGGGGCATAGTCTGTCTTTCACAACACCTGTGACTTTTATACCATTCATGAATCCATTTCCTGGAGTACTATGCGTTACAAACTCTTCAAACAGAGGAGGAACCATTTTCTTATTGCACTCCAATTCTATACATTGTTACAACATGATTCAAATTGTAATGTTTTGTTCTATTTTCAAAATATTCAATAACTGTAATACAACAGAACATGTTGTAATGTTAGGGGAATCCAGCAGGATCGCAGGACACCGGCTTTGCAAATAAAGTAAAGTTTATTAACTTAAATAGCTTCACAGCAGCAAAATAACAAAACAGTTCATCTTCACTGACCAGCTGGCCAACTCAAACAGCAACTCTTCAGTACAACACAAAAGAACAGTCTCACCGGCAGGAAGATTTCAGAGCTGCAATCGCAGTTTAAACAGTCCCAGACTTCAAGGGTAACTTTCCCAGTCTACAGATTTCCAGCAAGATTACTGACATTCAAGCTCACAGCAGTACACAGATCCCCACTCTCCAACCTCCTCCACACTACTCCTCACCTGCTAGCTACCACTTCCTGTCTTTTAAACACACTCTTCCTCCAGCAGGTGAGTTAACCCCGTCTCATCCATTAAAGGGACCACAGTCAAAACAGAGGGGAAATATAGTGTCCTTCCAGGACCCAGCCCCGGTGTCCTGTACAATATATACATAAAGTGTACAGATTGGTACTGAACAAGTGGTAATCTCAACGTCTCATAATTGGAGATAATATTATATCAATGGAATAAATATACCATCATCACATTCATATACAGCTGACTTGAGGTATTTCATTTCTAAAAAAATGTAAATAGCTGGAATCATGTTCATAAATATTTCAGATATCCGTGATGCATGATTCACAGATACTTACTAATATCACATTGCAGCCATGGCTGGTTGGGGGATTCGTTTTTAGGAGGTTTTAAATGTATTTATATAAGTTTATATATTAATTTTCATTTATTTCTATACAATTAAGGTTGTTTAAAAAATTGTAATTATTTTGACATGAGTAGTTTTATACTCTCCTTTTTGGGATCTCCATTTGGGGAAAGGTATTCCCTATGATATTTTAAAGAGAGACCCAAACAGGTTGATAAATACTTATATACTGTTTAACTGCAGTACCCTTTTTTCTTTCTCCCCTTTCTTTGGGTAATGGTGTGTAGTTGTCTTAACCACAAGAAATGTTTAGATGATAAGTGTCAATATAATACACATAATGCCTCTGATATGAAAAAATGTCTTAGTGTTGGAATAGCAGGTGAGTAAAAGCTTCATGTATCAATTGCTTCCTGAGGACTCTGAAGTAAGCCTGACCTGCATTCTCTATTTACCTTCTTCTGACAATGCAAGACCCTTCTTCAGCTTTAAAAGTACACATGTCGAGTTTGTTGATACTTTTAGCGTAAATTCAGATCTAAAAACAAGATTTCATTAAAAAAGGAATACATTTTATTAAAGTGAGTCTTTGTCATGAGAGAAATAGGGGACTGTCATCTCTGACCTACTTCTGAAAATGCTATTTTGCTTGCTTCTGATGTTTACCCTTTAGCTTGAGTCGCTGACCTAGAACAAGTGTGCAGATCAAGAAAGTTAGAAATTAGCAGAAAGTCCTTATTTGTATTCTTTCTTAGGGTCACTGATCCATATGTTAATTTTTTTCCAAAGCACGTTTAGCAAACATACTTTTTTTTGAAAATAGTCTACTAGATTAGTTATACACTAAATACATAAATTACCCTCTTTTAGATAGAGCCGGAATGTCAAGAAGTACCTGCTGAATCTGCCCAGAGTACAGAAGAAGTAACACAAGAAGCAGAATTGGATGGTGGTAAAGATACTGATGCTACTCAGGTATCACATTTTTGTAAAACCATATTAATTTTATTCACTAGATCATTTCTGTGTTTCATTACATTTATTAAAGAACTGTTCAAAAACAAAATGGTTTAGGGGTAAAGTTGAATCTCGTGTTTCTTGATTCAACTAGCAACAACATGTAGTGTACATATAAAACATGTTTATGAATGATGGTGAACAATAGTTCAGAACACATAAAAAACAAGTACCACCAACTACAGTATTCATGTAATTATATTATACATAGTTACATAGTATTTGAGGTTGAATAAAGACACAGGTCCATCAAGTCCAACCTATTGCGTGTATGTATGTGCTTCTGCATGTGTATTAGTCCATGTGTAATATTGTTCTTAACTGTAGCTGTACCCCTGCATGTTACGGTCCCTGAGGAAATCGTCCAAACGTTTTTTGAATGTTTCCATATTCACAGCTGAAATCACTGCTTGCTGCAGCAAGTTCCAGACCCTAACTGTTATAACTGAGAAGAAGCCCCTACGCCCCTTGTGCTGAAATCTTTTCTCCACCAATTTTAGGTGGTGGCCTCTGGATGGAGTTTATCCTAAAAAGTTTATTGCTGATGTTGCTATCCCCGTTAATCATCTTGTACATCAGAATCATATCCCCCCTTAATCTCCTCACTTCCAGCGTGAACATGTTTAAATTTAGTAACCTTGTCTCATAGCTTTGGTCCTCCATTCCCTTAATTAGTTTGGTTGCCCTTCTCTGGACTCTTTCCAGCTCAAGAACATCCTTTCTGTGGATTGGTGACCAAAACTGAACCGCATACTCAAGATGAGGCCGAACCAGTGATTTGTAACGTGGCAGAATTATAGACTTGTCTCTACAGTGCATTCCCTTCTTAATACAAGACTGTACTCTGCTCGCTTTGTTTACCGCAGCCTGGCATTGCAAGCTATTATTCAATCTGTGGTCTACTATGACCCCACAGATCTTTTTCCACTTCTGACTTCCCTAGTGGAGTTCCCATTAATGTGTAATCCGCTTGTCTATTTTTAACCCCAAAATGCATTACTTTACATTTATTAACATTGAAGTTAATCTGCCATATAGTTGCCCACTCTCCTATTTTATCCAGGTCCTTCTGCAATGTTATAGTGTCTAAGCCCATGTCTATTACCCTCCCAATTTTAGTATCATCAGCAAACATGGAAACATGGCTATTATAGCCCTCCCTGATATCGTTAATAAACAGGTTAAATAGCATGGGGCCTATCACAGATCCCTGTGGCACGCCACTCATGACCCTAGCCCAATCTGAAAGGGAGCCATTTATCGATACTCTGTGGACACAATCCAGTAGCCAGTTTGCTATCCATGTACACATTTCATCTATGCCCATAGACCTCAGCTTGTGTAGTAAGTGTTTATGTGGTACCGTGTCAAATGCTTTTGAAAAAATCTAAGTATACTACATCCACCGGGTTCCCTCCATCCAGATCTCTACTTACCCTTTCGTAGAATGTTAATAGATTGGTCTGGCAGGATTGGTCCTTCCTAAATCCATGCTGATTATCATTTATTATACCATTGTCATAAACAAACTCTACTAAGTGGTCTTTTATCATTACCTCTAATAGTTTGCAAACTATGGATGTAAGGCTGGCTGTTCTGTAGTTCCCAGGTTGGCATCTTGACCCCTTTTTAAATATCGGTATTATTGTAGCCTTCCGCCAGTCACTTGGTACTCTACAAGTCATTAGGGAGTCCTTGAAAATGAGGAATAATGGTCTCGCTATAACCTGGCTGAGTTCTTTAAGTACCTTGGGGTGCAGGTTATCTGGCCCTAATGCTTTATTGGCATTAAGTTTTTCAAGTCTTTTGTTGAACCCTGGCTTCCATCAACCACTGTGGTATATTATGCAAAGAGCCACTCACATTCTTATACACATTAAACCCGTATTTTTCCTGAGTGAAAACTGAGGAGAAAAAAGAATTTAGCACCTCAGCCCTCTCCCTGTCGTTTGTGATTAAACTCCCATTGTCATCCTTTATTGGGCCTATCTGCTCCTTTCTTACCTTTTTACTGTTTATGTATTGACATCATTTTTTGGGGTTCCTTTTACTGACTGTGGTAATATGCTTCTCACAGTCTATTTTAGCTGCCCAAATTTCGTGTTTACATGTTTTATTACATTCCTTGTAGTTCTGGAATGCCAGTGCCGTCCCCTCCATCTTATATTTTTTAAATGCCATGCCTTTGTCCTTGACGTGTTGTTTTACTGTTTTATTTAGCCATGCCGGCTTAGTTATTGATCTTTTATTTTTGTTACCCAATGATATACACTTGGTAATAGCATTATGTAATGTATTCCTAAAACAGTCCCACTTTTGGTCAGTGTTCCGTCCGATAAATACGTTGTCCCATACGGTGTCGACTACTATCTGGCATAGCTTATCAAAGTTTGCCTTTCTGAAGTTTAATGTTCTTGTCCGACCGACTATATTGGTAGCCCAGTCATGCGTGCTATCTAGCCAAGTGTCAGCTATTCACACTATATCGAAGTCCTCTTTGTGTAGCATACCTTCTAGCTCTATTAATGTATTTGCTAGGCTTCTAGCATTGGTGTACATACATTTGACTTTTGTACTAGTATGGGTTATGTGTTTACCCATTTCTTGAGCCCCACTACTTTTTTTTATTGGACCTTGCTATGGGTGATACCTCCGTACTTAGATTGATTCTAGTGATTGGGTGATCCGTATCTGTATCTATATTGACTGGAGTGAGCCCTCTGTCCCCCCTTGTTTTACTGGCCTCTATATTAATTACCCCTGTAGTTACTTGCTCTATATTAATTGTATCTATTTTTATTCCCTCCCCCCATTATCTAGTTTAAAAGCTCTTCCGGTCTTTTAACCATTTTTTCACCCCAAAAGTGCTGCACCTTCCCCATTAAGATGCAGCCCGCCTTGGCTGTAGAGCCTGTAGCCGACTGAGAAGTCAGCCCAGTTCTCCAGAAAACCAAAGCCCTCTTTCCGACCCCAGCTCTGAAGCCACTTGTTAAGTTCCCTCAACTCTCGCTGTCTCTCTGGAGTGGCTCGTGGCACTGGCAGTATCTCTGAAAATACTACCGTGGAGGTCCTTTTCTTCAGCCTAACCCCTAAGTCTCTGAACTCACTTTTTAGGACACTCCATTTGCCTCCTATTTTGTCATTGGTGCCGATGTGCACCATGACAGCTGGGTTATACAATAAAAATATGTACTGTCAAATCAAAAAAGTAAACCTTAATGTGGAAAATATTAAGGAACTGCAATAACAAATGAGTTAAAAAAAACGAATCGGAAATTCAGAATTGGAAATTCGAATTCGTTTGCATTGGTTATATCTGTAATTCGGAATTCAGATACATCCGAATCTCCGAAATTTCATCCAAATTTCGATTCGGAACGAAACGAATCGCACAATTCTAAATGATATTGACTATTGTGCATGAAACAGATAGACACACAGTGGAGCAGACAAAATCTGGAGCAGTCTAACATCTATCTTTCATTTTCAAATCTTAACTGAACAAGCTGAAGATAGAAGCTGATTGGTTACTATGGGTAACTGCTCCAGATTTTGTCTGCTCCAATTATGATAACGTTTCCCCAGTGTGCTCTAGAGGCAAGTAAAAGTAGGAACGAGTTAGATAAATGTATTCAAATATATGTAAACCCTAACTGAATGATATTTAGTTTGCTAAAAAAAACTGTATCATAAACTATTGAATAAATAAATAAAGTCCTAGTGTCCTTTTATATTGCTTTGTTGCATCTCAGTGCTGCTGACCTCCTTCTTGCCTACATGCACTCACTCCAATGAAGGATCCATGGCATTTTTTTAGGGGGGCGGGATAGCCTGAGTGGTCAAAAAATTATTTTAATAAGAGATAATTTATTAAAATATCGGTTATTGTTTTAAACTAATATGCAGTGCATTGTGTAGGCAGGGTGTAAGCATTTACACTATATTCCTAATATTACCTAAGGGTCCTAATATTTCTATTTATCTTTCTAGAACCTGAAATATAAGAGTGGTTTTATATCAATATCAGTATAATGAATTTGTTTTTGTTTGTTTTGTGACCTATAGCAGGAGATTACTTGCATACCATCAGTTGTAATAGAACCGGCATCTAACCATGAAGATGAAGGCGAATATGGGGCTGATGAAAATACCCATGTAAAAAATGCTGTAGATGATAAAGATGAAATTGATGCCATCCCTGATACACCTGCTGTGCAAGATCAGAGCATTGCTAGTGACAACACTGATCAACCCCCTTCATCCCAAGATTTGCCAAGCAACTTCTTATATAAGGTATTGTAATGTTATGTTAGCTATTTTTAATTTGGTATATTGTATTATTCATTTTGGAATCACTTTTTGAAAGTTTTTCCTTTTTATGGAAAATTACATTTAAGAAAGTAAACGGCAAATTAGCACTTGCTTTACATTGTTACATGGCATTTCAATTTTGACTGTTTTGAATGACTAATTTTGAGGGCAAGTTCTCCTCCAAAAAAAGCTTAGATGTTGGCGGAATCCTACAAGATTATATAATGTTTAATGCCCCTGATACACTGCGGACAGATTTCCTCATACTCAAATTATACAGCAGTGCCAACGTTTCATTGCTCAATTTTCTCTCTAGTCATTCATTTAATGTACTTACCTGCAGGCTGAAGCACTACATGATTTTGAAGCAGCAAGTGATGATGAACTAAACCTTAAGAGGGGAGACATTGTTCTAGTAATCGCTTCTGCTACAGCAGCTGATCAGGTAATATGATCTTATATAATTCAATTGTATTGAATGGTTACAAGTTGTATCGAATTGTTTGGCAAGGTTTTGAAAGAAATTATATGAGCACTGTGTAGTTGTAGTTTGTAAAAAAGCCCATTGACTTATTAGGTAGTGACCTAATACAGGGGTCTCAAACTCAATTCATTCGGGGGCCACTGGACAAATTTTTTTCTCCCATGGGTGCCGCTTGCCAAATTTCATACTCCAAGATACGCACACATATATACACAAAATAAGGCCCCATTCACACCTGTAAGTTTAGGTGCGATTAGGGATTCCTGCATCAGGAACTTGCGTTGAATCCCTAATGTGGCGTTTACATGTGGCAGCTGTCACCCATTCAGTTAATGATCAAGTGACATGTAAACCTGCACACCACATGTAATGGTGGTATGTAAATGCCACTTTAGGGATTCCTGCTGCAGAAAAACACAAGGAATCCCTAATCACACCTAAACATACAGGTTTGAATATGCTCCCCCCCGTTCTGGGCTCCCCCACACAAAATAATATGCATTCCCCCCCCCCACAAAATAATATGCCCCCTGTTCTGCGCCTCCCCACACATAAAATAATATGCTCTCCCTGTTCCCCGCCCCCACACATATAAAATAATATGCTCCCCC